ATAGAATTACCTATAGGCAAACCTAATCTAGACAATCCTTTATTGATACTCTCTTTCCAGGTGAGTCTAGGTTTTGTCAAGTTGACGATTAAAACTGCCATCATAGGAAGCAAGCAAAAACAAATAAATAAAGTCAATAGGAAATGAAAATATTATAGACTTATTTATAACAAAACTTAAAATTCATATGACAAAACTTTTAAAATGTAATACAGAGAAACATATTTGTAACACCCACCAAAAAGTTAATTTTCCAAATGTGTAAAAAAATTATCAATCAATAATAAAAATTCAGTTCTTAAAAAAGAAAATGTACAAAGCCTAGATACCAGATCAGCAAATACAAAAAGTCAAGATATATTCTAAAAATTATTCAATTAGACCTCATATCTGAAGAACTATAAAATACAGTCTCATTTGAATATAAAAGGTTACAATGTTTTTAAAATTTGGTGATATTTAGTCTTGACAAGGAAGTGGGGAAAGTAATTGAATAATTTGTTGAAATCTAATTTACTTACTTGTAAATTCAAAGCTAAAAGTCACACCTTGGACATACCTAGCAATCCACACGACACTGTAAATCACTCTGTTCATTTGACTATAGTTCTGTTGAAACCCACTGCTCTCCCGTCTGCCGGGCTAAAGTCGGCCCAGTGCTCAGGGCTGTGCTTTCAGCTTCATGTCTGTGAGCTTGTTCACTGCGCCATCGCCTTCTGGTTATACAGTGTGGGGCATAAGAACAGAAAAGAATCAAGAAGGCACCAGGTACAGAGAAATGGCAAGATGGCAGATTGCAAGAATGCTTAGGCCTTCTGTTCAGTCTGTGTGACAGACAACCGACTTCTACCCAGACAGCCTTGAATGCAGCAAGAACAAGAATGAGACAGTCGACATCCATGCAGTCAGTAAGAGTGGTCCATGTGAAACTGGTACATTCTCATTTTTTGCCCCAAAGGAGACAAAACAAGAAATGAGTGACTTGTTCAAGGACATACACCTAATTAGAATAGAACCAGCACTAGGACCCAGGGACCCCAACTTGCAGTCCAGGTCCCTTTCTTCACTAGGGTGCATTCCTTTCATGTGGACCAGTGAACATAGCCATATGGGGATGGGCGGGTTAGACTGAGCACCAGATAGGAGCATTAACAGTCCATCCCTGCAAACCACTGTAACATCTGCCAGCACCCGCTCCAGGGGCTCCAAGTGAAGGGTCACAGCACAGCCCCCTTATTCTACTTCCAACGGTCTCCTGGGGCCGGAGCACAGCTCAGTGATAGTTTGGGGTGGGTAGCTGGATTTGTCAACGTGATGGATCACCTGGGCAAAGAGTCTCAGTGAGGAACTGGGTTAGTCTACTGGCAGATCTGTGGGGGAGTGTCTTATTAAATTAATTGATGTGAGAAGACCCAGCCCAGTGTGGGCAGCACCATTCTCTAGACAAGGGTTCTGGAATTGTCTAAGGGTGACAAAATCAGGCTGAGCACAAACAGTCAAGCAAGCGGGCATATGCATCTATTTCTCTTTGCTTTGGAGTGTGGATGAGATATGACCCGTTTCAGGGCTGTGCTGTTTTGACCTCCCCATGCCATTTCTTCCTTAAGTTGCTTTTCATCGGGTTATTTTTTTATCACAACTGAAATGAAGCTAACACCAGAAAAACAAAACAAGACAGAGAGAGAGAAAGAGAGAGAGAGAGAGAGAGAGAGAGAGAGAGAGAGAGGGAGATGAATCTCCTAGTAGGGTTGTTCATGCCCAGCACATATTCCCCTCCCATCCAGCGTCATCAGTCAATCTGTTTAGTCTCCACCCACCTGGTCCTCCTGGCTCTTTACACTCAGTGTTACAAGTAGTATCAGGAGCCTCTTGGCAATCTCTGCTTCCTGATAATGACCCAGACCAACACTGCCCAGCAATATAATATAAGACAGATATGAGCCATGAGTACAAGTTTAATACTGTCCAGCAACCACATTTAAAAGGTAACCCAATATATATGTATATAATATATATGTATATATATTAAATATACATATTATATATATCATACTACATCAATATCCTATCAATATAAAAGTTACTAATGACAAATTCTACAGTTTTTCCACATCAACTTTTTAAATCCGGTGCAAATTTTACGCTCACAAGACATCTCCCACACTGGTTAGGTTTTAAAGGCTTACGAGGCACAAGCCAATGTCCATTATACCAGACAATGTGGAACTAGAAGTTCCATGAGTTTTTTTTTTTTTAAACTCAAATTTGCTCACTCACTGTTTTCCAACAAATGCGAACCTCGTGCATGTCTGTCTAAGGAAGGGCTCTGCTACAGAACTACATTCCCAAGTTGGGCTTTTGCTTCTGTTTTTAGGTTAATGCTTGTTTGTTTCTTTGTTTGTTTGTTTTGAGACCCAATCTCAGCATGCCGCCCTGGCTGGCCTGGAGCTCAATATGTAGACCAGGCTGGCCTCAAACTCATAGAAACCCACCTGCTTCCTGAATGCTAGGATTAGAACCTTACGTAGTTTAGGGCTACACATTTTAATAACTTGTTTATTCAGTTTATTCAGCATGTCTTCATACTCACGTCCTGATGCAAGCAACAGTGTTAGGTGGCACCTGTCACAGCTGCACGACACATGTCTTCACTATGGCTGCTCTCTCCATACCTGGCTCCCGCCTACCCCGCTGCTGCAGGTCCTAGCTCCACTCTCCAGCTCCTTCTAATCTCATCTCTGTGACAACTGACTGTTAAAACAGAACGGCCGAACTCCATCTCCTCACTGCCCTGCAGTACACCAGCCCATGCAGAAGCCCCAGGTTCTGCTCTCAGTGACCTGGAGTCACTGACTCACAACTCAGAAAATTCCAGTTACAGAAAAACCCGGCCTTCAGAACATGCTCGTGATAGGTTTTTACATAAACGTAGATGCCTAGCCCACTTCTGGTTCTTTGCAAAACAAATTCATCTGAGAGTTGTCCACCAATACAAGACAAGCTACCAGTTTCTCAAAGGATGTATTTCCCACCTCAAAGATTCTGTCACAACGAAAGCTGTGATTATTACACAGAGATGCAACATCATCTAGACTAGAAAAGGTGGCTGAGCAGAAGCTGGACACCTTCATGAAGTTAAATGGGTTGGTTAGCCTGCATAAGGACTGTGGGGACAAGGTGGGGGTGTATAACCCCTTAAAAACCCGAGTTTTTAATTTGTTACCATTTGCTTCCCTTTGCTCGAATGTTCAGGACAAAACTGCTCCCCCCTTCAGACTTTGAAATGAAACATATGGAGCTCTGAACAGGAAAGCTGCAACACCTGGCTTGAGTCCTCACGTCCGCTGCAGCCGTCGGCATGAGCTCAGCTGTCCATTCAGCCTGCATTTCAGCCTGCTCTGCTGCCCAGAGTGAGCTTGCTCAGTCCCTCCGGCTCTGTTGCCACTAACCCTCAGGGATCATCTTCCTCTCTGCTCATTATCCCCCAAGGCACCTGCTTCCCTGCGCACTTCCTCTTTCCTAAAAGACAAGATGGCTGGCAGCCCTGCAGCGAAAAGGGAAAGAAAAGCTGCTTTATGGGGGGGAAAAAAATCCTGAAATGAGTCACCTTTCAAGAATTTGCAATCCTAGTGCCTGGGTACTGTCAGGCTAAGTCAGCCTCCCAGAGAAACGCAGTTTCGTGCACTGTTCTCCAAGGATATTTAATTTACACTGTACACCGTCCTTTATGAGAGCCACTTGTAGGTACAAAGTATGCAAGCCATGCACAGTTGTGAGCTGTACCGTGGACTTTAAATATGCCTAAAGAAAATCAGATCAAATTAGAGTTTAAGTTAGGTTTGTATCAGCTTTGGACAAGTTAGGGAAAACAGCTGCAGCTCCCCAAACTTCCAGCTCGCTCCCCCTGTCTCTGCAGCTCCCTCTCATTTAAGCAGCCCTAAGAACACTCCTGGCCTATACCCAGAAGAGCCTCTCCTCCCGCTGATTTATCTCTGCAGCTCAAGTTAGGGGGCAGCTGCAGTTGGCTGTGGTCTGCCTGGCCTGATTTTTCATGCTGCCATTTTGAATTAGCATAGGTTTCCTCAGCAAGTGATGCATCTTTTAGGCAGACATGAAACACAGCACACACACACACACACACACACACACACACACACACACACACACACACACGACCAGGAAGAGACACAAGCCATAATTGCACAGAAAAACCATACTATTTAATGGAACCTTACTAGGTCAGCTTGGGAGACAGAAAATAGTAAGTTGCTTTAAATACAAATGGGTGTGAGCGACATTTTCGTTCCTAAATTCTAACCGATTTTCTAAAATCCAAGCATCCCTTTCGCCCTGTAGACCTCACGGTGGTTGCTAAATAATTATGCCGGGACAGAAATAACAAAGCGAGGACGTAAAGATAAACTGAAGTGAACTACTAGCAAGGATCTAGACACTTGCCTTGCATGACCCCGCCCCAATTGCAATGCAGGGGTGAGACCTGGGCGAAGCAGTGTCAGGTCTCATCCAGCGCATTGGCCTTTGGAGGCGACCGCAGACGCTGGGACTCTGCTGGGGCGGCCCAGGGCAGCAGCCCCATCAGGCGCTGCAGGTGCATTACTCCGGGAAGGAGTCAGGTTCCCTGGTTTTCGAGCCCGAAACCACAGGAGCCGCCCGGAGAAGCACGGAGACACTTTACTGGGCGTTACAACTCGACGCCCAGGAAAATCAGCCCCCGGGTTGTAAGACTAAAAGGCAGTGCGGGAAGGATGCGGGGTGGAGAGCAGAAGCGGGTTCTGACCAGGCTGCAGTAGCTTCGTCCCCATAGTCTCTGGTCTTGAGTCACAGTCACGCTCGACCCAGGCCACCTCTCATCTGCTCTCCCCTCCCCCGGCCCGCATTGAGGGGAGGCACGGGACATTAGAACGGCAATGGGAAATGTGACTGCCCGGGGAAAGAGCTGTTGCCCGCGCCCCGCGCTCCCTGCGCGGCCTGCCGCTCACCTGCTAAGCTTCGGGCTCCCTCCGGGTCCTGGTGCTGATGCTGAGACTGCCGAGTTGGGGGCGCTGCGGCGGGCGAGTTATTGCGTCTGCATCGAGGGCTGGAGCGGCAGTAGAGCAGGCGACGTCCGGCGCTTCCCGATCTCCAGACTCCGGGCTCTCCAACCCCTGCTAACAGCTGGCTGGGTCACGTGACCGCGGACCCACCCTCCGCCTCTCTGCGCTCAGGGCTGCGGGACCAGCCTGTGTTCGACTGTCAAGGCCTCACAGCCCACCCCGCCAGGGAGCGGGGGAAGAGGGCACCAGGAGGCAGCAGAGCGGGCGGGACTCAATCAGAAAGTGGTTCCCTCCTTTCTAGATTTATTTCTTGGTTGCAGCTCTCTCAAAGGGAAGAATCAGAGCTTTAAGGAGCCAGGCCCAGCTTCCTCCAGGCAACGTTTTACTGACCCTGGTAAGGACCCTGGTGTTTGTATGGTCGCTTGTCTGGGCCTTGACATCTAGGTGAGAATTCCCCGCAGAGATCTGTGTTCTGTGTCCAAGTCCTTCCTGATTTTAACGGATCGTGTTCATAAGGCAGATTGCGCAGCATAGTCACGCTTTGTGGACCAAGGTCACACAGCAAGTAACAAAGCCAAGGTCCCACACCAGGGTTAATAAACTTTTTTGGGGGGAAGAGGGTGAAGCCCACCTTAAGGTTATTGACAGTGCATCTGGGACTGAGACTCGATTGACCTTGTTTAGATTGTTAGAAAGGACTGTATCCAACTGTAAGAAGAGAGTCCACAGGGAAATAAAGGCAGTAGACCTGCTGGCGGGAGAAGACCTACAAGCATTTCCCAATTATCAGATGAACACAAACCCAAGCTTTATAGCCTCTGTGGGGGAATTTGGCAGTATCTCTCAAAATATGAACATGTGTTGACTTTCACCTGATTTCGTTTTTAGAAATTTGTCTACAGAGGGAACGACACACATGTGAAATGAGCAGGAGGCCCTCCAGGACCATAGTCTCTGCACCAGCAACACTTAGAAATAAACCCCAGTGTGGTGGCACACACCTGTAATCCTATCTTTAGAGAGACTGAGGACCAGTTGGAGGATAACCTGGGCTACATAGTAACCTTTTGCCTCAAAAAAGAATAAATTAAAAGGCTGAATAAAATTTAGCCTATAAATACCATGGAATGCTGTACAGCATATTGTGAAGATGTGGTCAGTGTCTGTGTTCTGTTATAACACTTCCAACCTATTTCAAATAAAAGGCTAAAGTGGGGAGAAGTTAGGGGCAAAACAGTGTGTGTGTGCAGAAAATAATATATATACTTGCACTTCCCTTTGCAAATGCATAGACTACCTTTGGAAGGATGCATAAAAAAAATTTTAACAGGAAGCATTCCTTTGATCCCAGAACCCAGGAGGCAGAGGCAGACAGATCTGTGAGTTTGAGGCCAGCCTGGTCCACAAAGTGTGTGCCAGGACAGGCTCCAAGGCTACGCAAAGAATCCTTGTCTCGAAAAACAGAACAAAACAAAAATAAGAAAAAGAAAGATAGATAGAAAGAAAGAAAGGAAGGAAGGAAGGAAGGAAGGAAGGAAGGAAGAAAGAAAGAAAGAAAGAAAGAAAGAAAGAAAGAAAGAAAGAAAGAAAATTTTAACAGACAATTCCATAATGGAGGAGAACTGGGTGACTGGCTGCTAGCCACTTAGTCTCTAAAATATGTGTGTACTTGTAGCGTGTCGGGTCAGTGAACAGTCGGTGGGAGAAAGATGAGGATATGAAAGTAGTGTAGGATAGACCATTGGTTCACAGATTTGGAACACAAAGGTGCCTTATTGCTTATTTACTCCAAACAACAAACTGTAGCCGAATGTGTGTGGTTAATCAACAATAGAATCTCTTCCATAACTATCGAAGTTAGTCTCCGGAACTGAGGCCAGGGAACTTGCATTCTGTCAAATGTTTGGCTTTTCCCTGTGAATTCAAGTTTGACAGCTGCTATTTGAACAGTCTCCCCTATCTCCAGAGCCTGCATGGAGACACTGTGCTATGGTGTTCACAGCGCTTAGTTAGCATCAATCAGACATTTTTCTTTCTTGTCTCTGAACAGGAAAGACAAACTCTGCTGCCATTTAAGACACACACACAGAAATAAGGGGCCAGAACAGTCCAGCGGATACAGAAAACATCCAGTAGTATCAGTTACGGCTTTAACCAGAGGCCTCTATCAATCACGTGACATCTAGCACTGTGTAAATTACAAGGCTTCTCTGAGCTCGCCTACAAGGAAAACTCTCCTAAATAACACACGATTGTTACATAGTCAATGATAGTCTACCCAGCACACTCAGGGGCCTGAGAGCCAGCAAATAACAGTGCACTGTGCTCTGCTTTATTCCACAAAGTAGGTGAGGATTTTTTTTTTCTTCTCCAGAACCAAAAAGGGGAGGTAGGGATACAGTGGTGATTCTAGCCAAATGCATTGTCACAAGAGATACTCGTAACATCCTTATAGCGAAAACCCTATGGGGGGCACTTCTGTTCTTATTTATAAGCACTAAAATGGAAATAAGATTATTTGGGATACTGCAAAATATACAACCCCCCAGGGGCTGGAGAAATGGCTCAGAGGTTAAGAGCATTGCCTGCTCTTCCAAAGGTCCTGAGTTCAATTCCCAGCAACCACATGGTGGCTCACAACCATCTGTAATGGGGTCTGGTGCCCTCTTCTGGCCTGCAGGCATCCACACAGACAGAATACTGTATACATAATAAATAAATAAATATTTTTAAAAAAATACAACCCCAACAACATCATAACTGCTCCTGCATGTAACCTTTCTTCCCCATTTGGATTACTATTCAGAACATGCATGGTGCCAGTGAGCTGGCTTAAATGGTAAGACTGTTGCTGCAAAGCATAATGACTTGAGTTCAATCTCTAGGACCCACATAGTGGAAAGAGAGAAGAGGCTCCTGCAAGTTGTTCTCATACTTCATATGTGTGCCGCAGCATGTACACACACACACACACACACACACACACACACACACACACACAATGTAACCAAGTTTTTTTAAACTAAAAGAATACAACCCTAACTAGTTTTTCAGTTGATATGGCCCATGAACAATTAGTTGTCCTGGACTGGAAGAATGGAAGCGAATGTCCTGACGCTCATGGAAAGTGTCAACGTCTATATAGGATCCTGTCTGTAAATGACTCTCTGTGACTGGCCAGGGGAGCGGAGACGGTGTTTGGAAGTATAACAGTTGTGAAGAAGGGGTGTAGAACTAAGTGCAGAGGAAGCCACCGGTTTGCAATGCATTGCCCATCATAATGCCATGCATGTAACCATGAAGGCTGGGTCATCACCCCCTACCCTTCTCCTTTAATAGAAGTGGGCTGCCATGGAAAGGCCAGGACCTCTTTGGGGGGATAACTCACTACAACTGAGGCAGAACACACTGATGGCTGGAGACTGCCTGCCAAACATCTGGAAGAGACACTCACAGGTTACAATATGTTGGGTTTTATTTTTCAGTTGAGAAAATTATGAATAAATCTACCACTCATCTTTATTTACACGGGTTTGTGTGGAGACAGGTTTTCATTTCCCTTGGGTAAATATCTAAAATTGAAATGAGGAAGTCATATGGCGCATATATTTAAATTCATAAGTCACTGTCAAAATGCATTCCGAAGTGAGCTTTGCCAGCTTTCATTTGAACTGTATTCCACAGGAGACAACAGGAGACATTTATCTGGTCTACTGAATGTGTGGTAGCCGCTGCTGGTGCCTCGTTAGGATTTCCCTGATGATCAACATAATATAACAGTTCTCCTTTCCTACATTTCATTAAGGAGGTTCTCACATTCTCAACCCACTTATCCCAAACTCCCATTTAGGTTTTGTGTCCATATTAGATCACATAGATTCATTATGTTTGGATACAAGTCTACCTATCATATTTGTGTACAGAAAATACTTGTCAGCTCTTGCTTTTTCATCTTATTCATGATGACTTCTGGAAAGATTTCAATATGGGTGGCATCCAATTTATTCCTGCTTTTCCTTTTGTGATTAAAGTCCTTTGTGTTCGGTTAAAGAAAACTATGGGCTAGGGAGTTGGCTTAATGGGCAAAACTGCTCGAATGCCTCTTCTAAACTGTGAACCTGAGTTTGAATTCCCAGGCCAATGTAAAAGCTGAGAGGCGTGGTACAAGCATCAGTAATCTTGGTGTTTCTACAGGGAATGGGAGGCAAAGGCATAAGAGTCCCCCAAAGCTCACAGGTCAGATAGACTGGCACACACAGCAGAACATTACAGACAACAGTAAAGCGGTCCTGTCTGTAAGAAGATGGAAAGTAGAACTGACACCCAAGGTTGTGTCTGACCTACACACACTGACACCAGGATTCACACAGATGAATGTACAACATTGCACACACATGCATGTGTGTGCGCTCACACACACACACACACACACACCTGACATATTCATACACGCAATCTTTGACTACTTAAAGATGGCAAGAGTTTTCTCCTGTCTTTGCATACAGAGATTGATAGCACTAGATTTGTGCTCAGGACCCTGACGCATTCCCATTTCATTTCTGTAAAAGGGAAGAAAAGGTCAATTACTTTTTAGATATGAGTATTCAGTTGCTCAGAACCATTTGATTATTCCCACTGAGTTTCTATGCTGTTGGAAGAAAAAAATCAATTGGCTACGTAAACACAAGTCTATCTTGGCTATATTGTTTCATGTGTTTATTCTTCGGTCAATACTGCATTCTCTTGGTTGCTGTAGCTTTATAGTGAGCCTTAAATCTGGGAGCTTAAGTCTTCCAACTCTGGTTTCTTTCAAAATTGTTTTGGGTGTTCTGGGTATTTTGTACTGTCTAATAAATTTTAGACTCTTTTCATCAGTTTCTATTATTAAAATCTTGACTGGTATTACCTTTAATACGCCGATGATTATGGAGAAAATTTTCATCTTAAGCTGTTTTCTAATATATGAACATATTTCCCTATTCATTCAAGTTGTCTTTAAGTTTTCTCAGAATTTTATAGGGTCCAGCTGCAAGTCTTAAACAGACTTTGTTTAGTAAGTATTCCATGTTTATAGATGATATTATAACTACTAATTTTCTGCTTTACTCCTAATTGTTTGTCACTAATGTATAAAAGCAATCGATGTCTTTCATATGTGCGTTGTTTGTATGTGGGTAGTTATATGCATGGCAGACATACGGAGGTAGAGAATGACCTTGGGGGTCAGAAACCAACCTTGGGTGTCGGTTTCCAGGTGCTTTCTACTCCACCACTTTTT